GGGCTTCCGGAATCGGGAAGCCGGGCAGCAAGTCTTTGCACGCTGCCCGGCTTCCTGATTGGCCGGGAAGGCGGCTCCATGCTCCCTCGTCACTTGACGCCTTGCACTGTGTAATGACGTGTTGCCCGGCTTCCTGATTGCCGGGCAACACGTCATTACATGGCGTTCGGCTTCCCGATTGGCCAGAAACCCAGCTCCATGCTTTCTCATCACCTGGTGACGAGGGAGCATGGAGATGGCTTTCCTGCTAATCGGGAAGCTGGGTAGCGAGTCATTACACGTCGTCTGGCTTCCTTAATGGGACTTCCGGTATCGGTCTTCAGTATCGGCGAGTACAGGAAAAAAAATATCGGTACTCGATACCGAAAAAACGGTATCGGTGCTTCCCTAGTGTGTATTGCAAGCTTAAGGTGGACCTCCAGCAACTTTTTTCCCTTTTAATTAGGGATGCACCGATACCGATACTAGTATCGGTATCGGTGCAGATACCGAGTATTTGGGTGAGTACTCGTTATCGGCCAAATGCTCCGATACCTAGCACGAGTACTTCCTGTATCAGGAAGCCGGGCTGCGCATCATTACACGCTGCCCGGTTTCCTGATTGGCCGGGAAACGGCTCCATGCTCTCTCATCACTTGCCACGCTCTGCCTGGCTTCCCGATTGGTCAGGAAGCTAGCAAATCCGAAAGCCGGGCGCCGTGTAATGACGCAGCGCCGGCATTCTGATTGGCCGGAAAGGCGGCGTCATGCTCCCTCGTCATCTCATGAATCATAATATTAAGAAACTGACCTTAAATCATTAGTTTGTATTGCTTTAGAAAAAATGTGACCTGTCCCTTTAAGAAAAAGTATCGGTAATTGGTATCGGCGAGCACTTGATCAAAAGTATCGGTACTCGTACTCGGTCGTAAAAAAGTGGTATCGGTGCATCCCTACTTTTAATAGATTAGTATAAAGTGGGGATGTGTTGGGATAACTGTCAAGGTTTTAGTACTCTTGGGGTCAGTGCAGCTTTGTCACTGTGACCAGGTGAAGCACCTATATCCTCTGTAGCACCGTGACTCATTTCACGTCGTCTTTGGATGTGGTTTTTCACAGTTTATTTTTCAAGATGATTTCCTTGTCCCGGGACTACTGTCCTTATCTGATCACATCACAGAATTGTACACAGCAGATCATGTGAACAATACTTGTGTGCCGTTAGTGACTCAGAAGGTAAGGAATCCGGGATCAGGATGGGAGCTGTATTATCTACTCCTCTATAAACAAGTCAGATCATTCTATTCTCAGGGCTCCCTTAAAGGGGAAATGGAATATATTTGTAGGGCCCCTTTAGACTATGGCGTTGCGGTAGCATGCATGTTAATAAACAGGTTACTGTAATGCACTGCAATGCACGTTGCATGTGTTTTGAATAGCACCCCAGCACATTGAGGCAACACACTTGTGTTGTGTCAGAAAAAATACGCTGCATCCAATGTTTACATGTTTTGGGTGCATTGGTGGCCCATTATCTGCAATGAGTGTTAACACCGTGCAAAATGGTAGATGGGCCCATATGATTGTAGGTGTACAAAGGGGTGTCCGTAGCATAATCACTGGGGCAGTGCTGTGGGTCACATTCCAGGGGGAAAGGGGGGGGGGGGGGTTGGG